AGGTCTGGGGTGCAGTCGGTGTTCCAGTTCATCCCAAAGGTGTTCAGTGGGGTTGAGGTCAGGGCTCTGTGCAGGACACTCGAGTTCTTCCACTCCAACCTTCACACACCATGTCTTCATGGAGCTCGCTTTGTGCACAGGGGCATCGTCATGCTGGAGCAGGTTTGAGCCTCTTAGTTCCAGTGAAGGGAAACTGTAATGCTACAGCACACAAACACATTCTATACCGCTGTGTGCTTCAGACAGTTTGGGGAAGAACCACATATGGGTGTGATGGTCAGGTGTCCACAAACATGTGGCCATTTATTGCATATGGTAGTATAGTGTAGTGTATAGTGTATATAGTGTATGGCATGGTATAGTATAGTTGTATAATATAGTATAGTATGGTACGGTATAGTATAGTATAGTATGGTATGGCATGGTATGGTATGGTATGGTATGGTGTATTATAGTATGGTATGGTATGGTATAGACAGATATTTATTCAGGCACTGGACTACATAAAATTCATAGTTTCACAGAATATTATTATCTGTATCAATATTGTTCACACCTAACTGTTCATTCACTTATCTAATAGAAATTGCATTAATTAATTTTAGATACTGATTCACAAAAAAGGTTGAAGAATAACAGAAATGTGGTTTTCTTCCTGGAAAAAAATGCAACAAGCAAACAAACAAAAATAGAAGAGGTAGAGAAAGGAAGCACATTTCAGCTCCCCCTGCAGGACACACAGAGCAGCTGAAATGAGACACCTGAACACACACACATGTACATACAGTATGTACGTTAACAGCTGCATGGTTTGTCTGTAACTGAATACTAAGTCACTGCATGTACTGAATGTGTAAGTACACACATGTCTTATGGTATGTAACCAAGACAGGATGACGTATACTCCACCTGAATAAATGTAGACTCCAAACACTGTTTGTAGTTTTTTTTTTATCGTACAGAAAATGCAGCAGAATGATTATTTACAAAAATAATAATAAAAGTTAATAAAATATGAACTTTCTGAAGCTAAAATGTAGTAGTTTACTGTACATATTGTTGTGAGGTAAAGCGTCACACTTGGTGGTACACACATGGAAAAAAAAAAAGCTGCTGGAAAATCATTTTTCATTCACAAATCTTAACAACAAATAGCAATTTCCAGAACATAACTTCATTCGCCTCCTAAAACAGACTCCCTGTGGAACTTTCGGGAGAGCTTTCTATCATCTATCTTCTATTTAAAGGGACTGAGTAGGCAAGCTAACTGCTTCAAACCAGTGATGTCCTTCCCAAATCAGCTGACAACAACAGCCGTCCGATAATATTTTATCTGATTTACTTTAGTTTTCCAGAAAGATGAGAAACGTCGTCTGAACATTATATCAGAATCTACTATAAAGCTGGCTGCACTTACAATGCTGCCGCTGGTCAAAATGGGGCCCTTTAAGCAGCATTTCATTACATATGCTGGAATGATTTTCCCAATAATGATGGAGAGTGATTAGTTAAGAACAATGAAAAACATGCACAATGAATGTAAAAGTTTACAATATTTTAAAAATGAATTAATTGTGCACATCACGTGAATTACATGAGCTATACGGAGCAATGGCTCAATATATAAAAGTGTCTTTCTTTTGAAAAAAAAAAAAAAGGTACATAATAGAGCTCCTCCTATTAGTATTACGAGCTTGATATTTGTCCCGTGAGCCAGGTTGCCAGGTTCTGTGTTTAAGGCCAGAGTAATGCAGCTACTGCAAATCAGAAACTTGCAATACTGTTAACTAGTTTCACCAGAGAAGATCTAATCTGGAGCTTTTTGACAAGCTTTCTTACAAAATGAATAATCAGAAATGTATGTCAGCAATTTCAGTGATAACAATCTGGTTTCACTGTTAGCACCTAAAAAGAAAACTTCTAGTCTCACTCACTTTTCATTGTCCAACTAGGTTCAGAGTCATATTAATGAGAAATCCAGAAGAGTTTCGAAGCTGATCTGAGTTTCGGAGGAGGCGAGTGAGCTGGACTAAAGAACTAAAGCGCCGCTGCATCGTTCTTTTTAGGTAGAAGCTAGGATTAAATCACACTGCACCGCTATCGGAGGTAATCAAACAGCATTGTGTAGGAATGTATTGTAATGTAGGAAACTGTTAACCAAAGTATAAAAAAATAGACTTATAATTTCATTATAAAATAAATCATGGACACTGTTAAAGATCATATGTTAATTATAAAGATTATTATGCAATGCACAGAGTTCCCTGGTGGTCTAGCAGCCAAGGATCCTGCGCTCTCACCAGCCTGGGTTCAATTCCCAGGCAGGGAACCAAACCCAGTGCCGGTCCCAAGCCTGGATAAAAACGGGAGGGCTGTGTCAGGAAGGGCATCCGGCGTAAAACCTGTGCTAAATCAAACATGCGGACCAATGATCCACTGTGGCGTCCCCTAAAGGGAGCAGCCAAAAGAAGAACAACAATTATGCATATTGCATATTAAGTAAATAAAGATTATAAGGCTGCCAGAAATGCATTGTGTGCTAATGCTTTCTCTAATGATAAACAGATAAGATGTGTCATAAACTAAGAATGTTCTGATTCTACAACCAAAGCCCAATCATAATCTGAATAAAAACAAAACAATGATGTCATCCAAATGTCTAGAAAGTACAATATAAGTAATATAGTGCAAAGACTATGGAAGTAACGGCTTGACCGTGTCACAGCATGACTGATTACACCAACCTTTACATGGATGGTAAGATCTTGAGTGGGATTCGGCTGAGTGGAAAAAAGCAGGGGTACATTTTCTCAGTAGATACGTATGTGTATGATATCAATGTGACATTAGTGTCAGGATCACTGAAAACCACCTGGTTTTTCACCATGTCCAGAAAAACACGCAGTTTCTTAATCTTGGGTGCTGTTGGGGTCCAAGAACATTTACCGTTAATACAAGATATGAGGAAAGAACAGTTGGATAGATTCTGCAGTCTTTTAGCAGATTCGGTAACAACTCCCAGAGCCCAGTGTTCACAGGCTTCCAAATCCACCTGCCAGGTGTGCACTCCTGAGCTGAACCCTTCTGAGCCCAGGATGTAGCAGGAGTGTTTTTCTGGAGGGTTCAGTAAAGACATGCCTGAACATGCAACGCTTGTCAAGTCTGGAGATACCTCAAGGTTAGATGTTTTGGTATTTGGGTCCAGAATTACTGGATCTAAAAAAGACAAAAAAAGGAGCTTGTTATATAATTTTGATAGTAAACATTTAACATTAAAAACTGTACTATTGTAATAATATCTCATTTACATTATTTATTGTTTCATAGTTAGTGGCTATATTTACATACAGCCTAAGAATCCATCAGTAATTTCTCTATCGGAATGAGTGTGTTTGTTCTGCGCATATGTGTCTGAGTAATTCGCTCCTGCTGAAATAGAACGGTCATGTGAGAAAACACAGCTCATGTTACAGATTTTTACTTAAAATGATTGTGAAGTGATGATGGACATTCTGAGACATATGCAGGAAACGTTCAGCATTTAATATTCACCAGAAGGTCAGTGAGGATGCAGGACCAGCACATGGTAGAAAAGGGAATAAAACTTTGTTAAATTTCTTCACAAGAAGACAACCAGAGCGCTCTTGTTCCTGAATGTCCGACCAACATGAACTGCAGCATTAATTAAAAGCTGAACATGCTGACTGGACTTGTCTACGGAGTGTCCAGTTTAGGATCCATATAAACAGTTTGTTTGTGCAATGTGCAAAAAGAATAAATTCATTAGAATTGATGAAAGTCTCACTCGTAAAATTAGCCAGTTACATGCTACTTTTTGGTAAATCTACCTTGAAGCTACAATCATTGGACAGTGTATTATGTGCACTTCCTGTACAATATTTGTACAGTACTGACAATCACAGGTTCTTTATTGGTTCTGGAAAAGTATCAATTAGCGTTTGTTTATTTATAAATTATCCCAAACTATGAACATCACACCGAACGACATTAAAAACGACATTAAAACTTTTTAAAAAAGTGGTAAAGAATATGGCACAATCAGGTAAATAGTCAGAGAAACAGAGCAGACAAGGGTAACTTTAAAGGGGTTGGAGAGATCCACAGCTCAGATGGGAAAAGCTGTTCACGGCTTGGACAACTCCACAGCTGGACTTTATGGAAATTATGAGAGGAAAGCCGTTCTTTGAAAAAAATAAATAAATAAAATTAAAAAAAGCCATAAGAAAATTTGGCCTTTGCACATGGCTCTATGTTTGGGTGAAACCCAACACCCTGAAAATGCCATCCCCATGGGGGAAGATGGGGAGTGAAGTGGTGGTGGTGAAGTGGTGGTGGTCAATCGGTGATGGTGGTTTTGGTGGTTGTGGTGGTAGTGAAGTGGTGGGGGTGAATCGGTGGTGGTGGTTTTGGTGGTTGTGGTGGTAGTCAAGTGGTGGGGGTGAATCGGTGGTGGTGGTTTTGGTGCTTGTGGTGGTAGTCAAGTGGTGGTGGTGAAGTGGTGGGGGTGGTAGTGAAGTGGTGGTGGTGGTTTTGGTGGGGGTGAAGTGGTGGTGGTGGTTTTGGTGGTAGTGAAGTGGTGGTGAAGCATATATTACATTGTAGGGATTTTCAGGCACTGGGAAAGTCACTGGCACCCAATTATAAATCCATTTCTAGGTTGTAATACAAAATTTGGAAATGAATAAATACTAATGAAAATCCTAAAATATACTTGTGCTCATTCACTTACAGTAAGAACAGACGTGCTTCATCTTCTCCCACACTCTGTATCTCAGATTCCCCATGTGTTTAGCCACGTCGATCAGAGACCCTGAATCAGGCTTTGCATCTGGTAGTGCGAACTTAACTCTGAAACATACACACACACAGAGATAGATAGATAGATAGATAGATAGATAGATAGATATATTATATAAGACATGCAGCTTAGCAACATTGTTCAGCCTTAACTACATCTGCTATATCAACTAGTTATACTGCATTAGGAAAAGTGATATACTGTATGGAGAATAATACCCAAGATAGACAGTATTCAATGTTATAAAAATGTAATGTAACAAAAATCTAATACAGAACCAAAATACTAAATATTGTTTTTTTCATTTGGGGCAGAAATTGACCCCCACACACGGACGTATATGTCTCTTTTTCCACCCAGCACTGATGTATGAATAATGAATAATGAATTTTACCTCTCCTCTGTATCTCTGAAATTCTGGGAACCACAAAAAAAAAAAAAGCAGACTTTATGAATAGCCTTCCTTTATTATGAGCAGAACACATCTGAAAACAACAAATAAAATGCGTACTTGTAAGAAAAGACTCTCGTCATGCCCTAGATCATCCTTAATATGTTTTATTCGTTCAGATAAAGAAGTATGCAGTCCTTCAACTTCTGCAATCTTCTCCATAATCCTCTCTCTCTTCCTCTTCTGTTCGCCTCTCAGTGCAGATATTCGAGCCACCTCATCCTCTTTGAGGAACTGATAAAGCTTCTTAAACTCCTCCTTTATCTGCATCTCTGTCTGTAGGCCCTGAATCTGGGAAAGAGGACAATTCCCTGTGTTTTATCCCACTAAGTGCTGTATTTTATATTACTATTTCATAACACAAATATTAATTACCTGGAGTTTTCTAGCTATGGTGTCAAACCTGGACTTTTCAGAAATCAAGGTTTGCAGCTTGCTCTCAAGCTCCTGCAAAGGTTTTTGAAGTTTATTCTGAAAAGAAAGATGTAATTTTACATGTAGAAATAAAATGCTTTTATTATACAATTTAAAAGAAGACATGGCACATCTACATACACTATATGGCCAAAAGTATGTGGACACCTGAGCATCACATCCATATGTGCTTGTTAAACATCCCATTCTAAAACCATTGCCATTAATATTGAGTTGGACCCCCTTCACTCTTCAGGGAAGGCTTTATACTAGATTTTGGAGTGTGGCCGTGGGGATTTGTGTTCGTTCAGCTACAAGGGCATTAACGAGGTCAGATGTTCCACCCATAGTTTATTAATGCTATACAAAGACAATCGACACAATTGTGTGCTTCAGACTTAGTGTCATGAGTTTGGGGAAGGACCACGTATGGATGTGATGCTCAGATGTCCACATACAAATAGAAAAAAAAATCAGGAAGGGGGCAAATACCTTTTCATGGAACTTTAGTAAACATGATAAGATTATTACTTATCAGGAAAAAATTTCATACTAAAATGTTTAAGAAATCTAGGGTTATACTTTACCCTGTGTTCCTCAGCTGCTTTGTTGATGGAGCAAAAGTTGTGTTCTTTATGGTCCTGAGACACACATATCAAACACACCAGCTTCTGGTCATCTGTGCAAAAGAGCTCATACTTCGAACCATGGACACCACAGAGCACATCTTGACTTTGTGCTGAAATCCTGCGCCTCTTCTCCTCCACGAAAGACTCACACACACCTTTAAGAGCCAGATTTTTAAGTGGTGAGTGTTTTGCTACGTGCCTGCAGAGTGGGCATTCCTTCACCTGCTTCTGACACCAGTTGCTCTCGAGACACACCTTACAGAAACTGTGACTACAGGACAGAACCACTGGATCCTTAAAGATTTCTAAACAAATAGAGCATCTGAGGTTTTCTTCCATGTCAGTGTGAGATGCCGCCATGACTGCTTCTTCTGGTCGTTGGTTATAGCATATATGTCGGAGTGTTTCCTCTGTTACAGGCTTCACTTTTTGAGAAATGAAACTGAAAGTTTCATCGTATTTGGTATGCAAATGATAGACAGAGAACCTAAAAGAAGAACTGTTCCACATGCAGGCTGTTACATGTACTAAACAATGCAGCACACTTACATCTAAACAAGACACACCCAGGGAGTTACCCAAAACTGCGCTGCTTCTTTCACTCCTCATCCTGCAGTCTTTAGCCTGTAACCAGGAAATCAACTGCTCCACTTTTATAGAGGAAGCATCAGGTGTTTAACTTGTCTCCAATTTGCAATGACCTTTGACATTTAACTTAAATTAGATTTAAAAAATGTTATTTAAATAATGAATATCAAACTCAGTAATCAAAAGGAGACCAATAAACCCACAGGGTAATGGTAAAAAAGGTTCTGCTTGAGGACCCAAACTTTGTGGGATTAGGTTAGCTAATTGTAATCAGTTTGCTTGGAATGGACAAATTCCTGCTTTCTGTGTAATGACTGGCTATCAGTTTTTACTTACAGGTACTACACTACTTGAAAATGTTTGGTTTGAGGATTGATAGGTATTGCACTGACAGAACAGAAATACACAAAATGAAATAACACTGCTAA